AGTTTCAGCAGCGGCTGACGCCAGTTCCAACTTACATACAGATTCAACTTAAGAACAAACCTTCAGTCCCTATCTTGTACGTAACCCGGGGACTGCCTGTACCTGAACTGCAGATAAACTGACAACAGCTACCGTAGACTCTTGAGCAATCAATTCAGCAGTTTCTAATAGTGCTAAATTCATGTTTTTAAAATCCTATGAGTAGAATGGGGAAGCATCAGTCGTTAGGATGTAGGTAGACCCATTCTCAAGGCTTTACTACCACTCTCTATGCACTACACTGCAGTTACTCATTTGTTTCTAAACTGTAGAGATTGCCTTTTTCCACCAAATCAAGCTGGGGACAACATCCGGAGGAGAAAGAAGAGTCTCTATGACAATCAGTTTCTGCTCTTGGTCACCCCCTGTTATACAGCTGGCTGATCATAGAGGACCTCTCAGGGTCCCTTTCTACTCTACCTTCCCCTCTCCTCTTCCACAAATGAGGCGGCAAGACCAAGTAAACCCTAGACCATTCCTAACAGGCATTTGCCTAACCTGGCTCTAAAATCCTCCAACGATGAAGATTCCATAGCTTCCCTTGATAATCTCTTCTAGTACTTACTATCCTTATAGTTGAAAAGATTTTCCTAACATTTAACCTAATTCTCCCTTATTGTCGGGATGCATGGTCATTAGTGGATACAATTAAAACACATCAATGTAAGAGTTATCTACAGCTTTTGCACAAGAGATGATAGACCTTCTTGCTACCTAGAAGATACTGACATTAGACGTTGGAGTAATTATATAGCGTAATATTTTTAGATTCTTAAGTACGTTAGAAAATGGTGAATGATACATATTGCTTATTTACTAGGTAACTTTCGCTCATGATTTATGCCAACCAGCATTAGGAAGGTAATCTTCTATGTTATGTAATTTGTTTATTTTTATTAAAGGAAACCACCTTTCATGTTTTGAATATGCAAACTTCTCTTATCAAAACATTCCACATTGACAACTAAATGATTTGTTAAAAGAATATAGGGATTAACTGTAGTCAGTGAATTAAAACTGATTATTTCGAGTCCCAATGGGAAAATTTTCATATGTACCTAAGTAAAAGCAACTGTGATTTAAGTTCCTACCTGCCTACATCTCTTGTAAATAAGACCTTCTCCTACATTCAGCCTATCTTTCAAATTTTTTAAAACTAATAGCTCTCATTCCCTCCCTCCTCATTTTAGTCACTTTAATCACGTTTCTTCTGTTTTAAAAAGTATTACCATTTAAACAATTAAAAAAACTATTTTAAATAAAAAGATTTAATTGTATTCACACTAGATTGCCGAATATTAAGCCAATCGTTTCTAGTAATACCTTCTGTCGACATGAAGAACAACTGATCCCTGTCTTCCTTATAATATCCCTTAACATAGTTGAAGATTTATCACATGGGTTCCCAAACTGGGGAGAGTGAAGAAATTGCAGGGAGGGGGGGGCACGAGGCAACCCCCCCCCCCCCCCGTCAATCTCCCCCTCCTCTAAGTTTTGCTGCTATTTTTGTTTCTTGTCCCCGGTCAGTTCCTTTCCCTTCTCCCCCTCAACAAGTTTTGCTGGTTTTTTTGGGGGGGAAGGGGGTTCTTAAAAAGGGGGTATGATGCCAAAAAGTTTGGGAACCCCTGATTTAAAAGGGCCCCCCCCCCCCAGTCTTCTTTTCAAGACTAAATGTGTCTTTTTTAAATCTTTCCCAGTAAGTAAGGTTTTCTAAACCTCAATTTTTGTTGCTCTCCTCTGCATTCTCTACAATTTGCTCACATCTATCCTAAAGTGTAACATGTAGAAATGGGCCCAGTACTCTGAGGCCTCACTGGTGGGAAAACTAGCTTCTGTGTCTTATATAAGACACTCCTGATCCCTCAAATATTGCTGCTGTCACTGATCAGTGACTGCCTTGAATGGGAGGATAGGTGGGAAGATAAAAATTCAATACCATCTATTGTGTGGTGTAAAGAACTTTGGATGCTGCAGGCAGAATGTTATTTATTCCCCCTTTCAAGTTTCCGGTAAATTATGCACCTCAGGGGTTATAAAGGCATTGTCATGCCCAGCTGCAGCAAGGTTCTCAGGGACTTGTCTGCATAAAACGTCGTCCCTGGATACAGGTTGCTCGGTTGCCTACTCAGCCACTCCACTTGCACTAGAACAAAAAACCACCACACAAACAAAAGCACCCTGTTTTTTAACTAGCAAGAGACCTATATATAGAGTAGATCTTCTCAATCCTCATTCCAACTGATACTAACGTATCAGCACCTACCAGCAGCCAAGTTCCCCCAACCCTCCTGAACTTCTCGCCCATCCATGACCCTGCTGATTAACTCCTCCCCCTCCCAGTGCCTCCTGCCCACAGTGAAAAGCTGTTTTGTAGCGTGCAGGACACATGTGGGGAGGGGGCAGATGGTGCACACTGGAAAGAAAGGATAGAAAGAGGCAGGCTGGGAGCGGGGGTGGGGTGGGGCAGGGTGAAACACCCCAGCTAGAAGGGAAGTCAGCATGTATAGAGGGGTGTTAGGAAAACACTGCTCACTAGTCAGAAGTCCTCTTAAACACTGCGTAAGCAAGTTCTGCCACAATGACTTTCAGGGTACAGAACATGCAGCACCTAGATGCCTGCCTCAACGTCTCCCTCTTAATTTTTAGACTATAACCAGAAAAGCTTTACTAAGCGCTGGGGTTTGGTCACAGCTGCTGTCGAGTTTTATCACTATTTTAGTTAAATATTTTGTTTACATTATTTTATGACTATAATCAGATTCAGACTACTTTAACCGAGTCACAAGTATGTCAGAAAGCTGCTCTTCCAGCACAGAAGAGCAGAGACCAAAGGATCACAAGAGGAGAAAGAGGGATAAAATGATAGCATCTAAAGGCAACAGAAAGGGTAAAACAGACAGGCTGGAAAGACAGTAGAACACTACTTCTAGAACATCCAGATCTTCAAGGGGCTGATGTCAGGGTGCAGTTACTACAGCCCTCAAAAAGTAAAGAGGCTTTTATTTCTAAACCTCCATGTACAATTACACACAGAAGCTTCAGCACAAGAGCAGTCAGTGGTGTTCATATGCATAAGAAAGTTTTTATAGCAGGGGTGGCCAAACTGCAGCTTGCAAGCCACATGCAATTCTTTTATCATTATTGTGGCTCACAAAACACCCTCAAATATCTCCTCCAGTCTCCACCTACCAGATATGGGGGGGGGGGGAAACTTTGCCTTGCAGCAAGGTGGCCAGAGAGGAGCTTCTGCCAGGACTTGGAGCTTCATCAGGAGCAGGGCTTGGCACCTGCCAGGGCTTAGGGCTCTTTCACAGAGCTGAAGCCCTGAGATCTCAGATGATCACTGGCTTTTGAATGTCTGAAAATTGTTGTGCGAGACTCAGAGTCAGTAAGTTTGGCCACCCCTCTTCTACAGCACAGCAGCAATTACTAGAGCCCTGCAAGTCTGCAGCTATTAAGGATGTAAAATAGCATTTAATCAGTTAACTGGTTAAGTGTTACATTTAATTGCTTAAACAAGATCCAGGGGTGAGGAGGGGGGTCCAGCTGAGCTGGAGCAGCTGGAGCTGCAAGTGGGGGCTGCTCCGGCCAGGCTGCAGTGCCCCAGTTTGTGGTCTGAGCAGGGAGCTGCTCTAGTCCAGGTGGGCCCACTATGCTGTGGGCTTCTCTGGCAAGCAGGCCCACCACAGGCAGGGGCTACTCCAGCCAGGCTGGGCTGGAGTGCCCCCAGCCTGTGGTGCAGCAGGCCTGGTTGGGCTGGAGCAGTCCTCCTCCACCCTGCTTGCATCAAGTGAGGGACAGTTCAGCTGAGCTGGACCACCAATTAACCATAACCAGTAAGCATCACCTGGTTAAGGGTGATGCTTACTGGTTAGCCAGTTAACCAGACATCCCTACTAGGTTTAAAGAAAGCCTCCTGAGGTGCCAGAACCACCTCACCTGGCTCCTTTCAATCCAGAGGAGTAGTGGCTGTACTCCAAAGCCTTCCCAAAAAGCCATGCCCTTCACCCTGAGAGAAACTCCACAATCCTGTGGAGAAAACTCACTTCCACCATTTGTACCTGTCATCTTGCCCTTTCAGTCATTACCCAAAATTCATGACCACAGGTGAGGATGGAGAAATAGACTGACCTGTAAACTGAGAGCTTCATTGGAGTGATCCCACTTCAACACCACAGATGGGTACAGCGCTTGCATCACTGTTGCCACTGCACCAATCCACCAGTCAGTCTCCTGCTCACAGTCAGTCACGAACAAGATCCCTTAGATACTTAACACTCTTGCACTAATGGCAGCTGCTCCCCACTCACCTGGAGAGAACAGCCCACTTTCTTCAGGAGAAGAGCAAGACCTCTTATTTCTCATCCCAGCAGCTTCACACTCAGTAGTTAAATGTCCTAATTTAAAGGATATAGATCCCTTTAAAAAAAAAAAAAGATCACAGGCAGTAGTAAAAGGTGTATTGTCAGTAGGCCATATTTTACTCCCATACACACACACCTGATTGTTCCTTGCAGAACATTCTCCAGTGCTCAGTCTACTTTCAGTGATTTGAAAGGCATCCGAGAAGTAGCCACAGTAAACTCCTGCATGACAGACAAGTGAGAACGCTGGTCTTACCTGACTTCAATATTACCATTACAAGAATAGCACTGTGGATTAAGGCACAGCCCAGTATACCTGAGTTTACCTCTGTTCTGCTACAGACTTCCTGTGTGATCCAGGCAAGTCATGTAGTTTCTCTATAACTTGAAGAATTAGCATGTGACAAGCTGAGATATAAATCTCTCTCACACTAGTCTGCTGTGCACGGTCTGTGTGGACCCTGCTGCTGCACACTAAAAGCTCAGGAGCATGCTTTGCTCTACTCCACTTTGAAACTTGCACAGGCAAAAGGTGGCTAAGGCTACAGGGAAGCTCAGTCCTCCCCTATCTAGCTCTACCTTGTCATTTTTTTAGCCACTCAGCTCTGACAGACAAGCCCCCACATCTGGTGATGCCAGAGCCAGGAAGGGGGCAGTGGGAAAGGAAGGCCCTGCCACAGTCCCAACAGGGCATGCAGGCTCCTGGCTCTCAGCAGCACTGCCCAGGAAGTTAGATGTTTCAAGAGAACCATTTGCAGAAGGCTTTGCCAAGCAGGGAGGCTCAGGTGCAGTGTCTGGAGCAGACCAAGTGGAAGAGGAACTGTGGTGTCCAGGGAGTCACAGCAGGTGAGCAGGAGAAACCTATTAAAATATCAAGCCTGGAGGGGTTCCAAAGAGAAGAAATTGGGAGTTGCCATGGAGCAGAGGGTTGAGTCCCCTGGTTGAGGATTGGGATGAGGTTTGCAAGGACAGAGCCAGAGTCCCAGGGGAAGAAAGGAAATCTGATGCCCCACATCCAATGACACTAGGACCAGGAAGGTGGCAGGTGGGTGGAGACACTGTGAGGGGAGGGTCCTGTCTGCACAAAGGCTGCATGTCAAGTAGGGATGCAAAACATGGTTTAAAAATAACCATGTAACCATTAAAATACTAGCAGTAAATAGGTACATGAATGGGTAAATAGTTAACTGGTTACCCGGCAAACATCACTCTTGATTACCAGTTAACTGGCAGCGCCCCTTCCCCCCTACATTTGGCCAGGAGCCGGATGAAACAAGTTAACCTGTTAAATGTAACATTTAGCCAGTTAACTGATTAAACGGAATTTTACACCCTTAGCAGTTATACAGTTATCACACACTGCAGGCTATGCAGTATAAGGCTTATACTGCACAGCCCACTGTGTAGCCGGCTCCCCAGGAGTGGGGCACCCCAGGCACACCCACTCCAACAGCTGCCCCCACTCCCAGGGAGCCAGCTGCACTGTGGGCTCTGCAGTATAAGCTTTATACTGCACAGCCCACAGTGTGAGCTGGCAGCCGGGAGCTGGCACACGCCAGCAAAGAGTTTAACCAGAATGGAAAACAATAAGCGCAGGCTTATCCGTTAACTATTTAACTAGTTACACTCTTACATCTCTAATGTCAAGTGACACTGTTTGGCTTTCACTACTCACAAGTTTGAGAGCGCCCTTGGGCCAGAAAGGGGAGCTAAACCCAATCCTGCGGGACAAGAGCTGCCGCTGTGGGTGAGCACAGAGCAGGAAGCCTCAGCCAAAAAATATTTTCACAAGCTGCTTATGGAAATTGGAGATGATCAAAGTGCACTAGAGAATTTTTAGTGTTGCAGCAGGGTCCATATGGACAGTCAAAAAAAGGCAAGCTAGCATGAGGGAGACTCACAACACATCTAGCCATTCACTGGTTGTACAGACAAGCAGTGTTCCCTGTAAGTTGAGAGCTTGGGCAACCACTCGGGAGAGATTCAAATGCCATCCAGATGATGAACAACAGAGCACCCACAGCCAGCAGCATGTGTTTCTACTGATGGTGCACATGTGCACATCTCAGTGCACATAATAAAGTTTATTCTGCACATGGATGGAAAAATTAGAGGTCATATTGTAGACAAGCCTTTAAACTTCCTGTAGTTTAGCGCCTCGTCTATAAAATGGGGATACTCACTCTCACCAGTCTTGTTTATTCAGACTGTATTCTCTTCAGCACAGGGACTCTCTTTTGCTATGTGCTAGGTGCTGCACAAACACAGCTGGGTCCTAAACTAAGCTGGTGCTAAATAAAAATCCAAAATAAAATTTATTCTACAAGCTATTTCTGTCATTAGCAAGAGCTTTTCGACTTCCTCTGAACTGCTGGGAATAGAAACAGACATCTCTTCTTTGGAGCAGGCAGATAAAGAAAGGGTCCTCTCTCAATATCTATTAGTGTGAATATAACCTACTTTAAATAAGGCCACATGAAAAAAATAGATTCCCAACCATAGGACTCAAAAGGCTATTAGTTTAAGACTAATATAACTAGAAAAAGCACTTTACTAAAACCACCCCAATAGAACTGTGCAGAGAAAAGTAATTCCATTTCACAGAGGGCTGATTGAAAATTGGTTTTATTCTCATTAGGAAACAAAACCAAAAGTCTCAATATTCTCTGCAAAAGGGAATGAAGCAGAGGTTCTGTACCAATACACCTGATGGGTAGCTCCAATGCCACAGGCCCTGGAAGCCCAAGCTCTCCAGATTGCTAGGCAAGTTGCAGGGTAGCCAGACAGTTCAGTTTCACCAAATTCTCTGCCAGCTGACCTATCTCCACAGAACATTTTGATTTTTCCAACCAGCTCCACACACACCAAGTCCCCTCCATTTTTGCTATGTCTTTTTTTTTTTTAAGTATTCCATATGATCATGTGTATGGATTTATACCAGCACTACATTTTCAATAGTTTTCCTTAGTTATCCCAGCTCCATACAAACACCTGTTATGCAGCACATGTACTAAAGGTTTTTAAAGGAAGCTCTCTGCAGCGTTCAGATCTTTTTCTGGAGTTACAGTTAATCAGAACCCAGTGTGGTATAAATTTTCCAATTATTCATTCTAACGTTCACCACTTTGTATCTGCCAGGACTGGATTTCATTTTACCTAGCAACTGAAGTCCTAAGAGAACAGTAGTGCTCCACTAGATAGGCTAAGTTAAAGGCAATAGAAGTACTATAGGTTCATACTACTGTTCCTCTCGGTGCCTACTATCAGAACTCATTGTGTATGTGCTGTCTACAGCATTTATTACCACCATATGCCACAAGCACCATTCACCATATACAGTGTACATTAAACAAGCTATATATGCACAACCCCCTTTTGTTCTAAATACATGCCTTCTAGATCTACATCTCATCATATTAGTCAGATGTATGCTTTTAATACAGTTTACATGGCATGTCACAGGCCATTCCGCATTGTTATGCCACAGAACCCTGTGCCATTATACATTATGCAGTGCAATTCAGAACCAAGCTGCACCACACAACACCATGCTATATAATTCAGTGTCACTCAGCACCACGCCAGGTCACCCCATGAGTCAATCACTACCAGCTAGGATCAACCCAGTACCACACACTGTGCCAACCAGCACCTTTAGTATCCAAGCATCACATTTTGCCACTCAGCACCCTGCGCCATGCCAACCAGTACCACTCTGTACATCCCAGCACTACACCGTGCACTCTAGTTTCCAACACCCGAGCATGCCTCCCAGCACCACTCCACATGGACTGTCCTGTACCATGCCATCCAGCCCATCATGCCAACCAGTAGCATCCAGCAGCACCCGGCAGCGCTGCGCTGTAGCGAGCAGCACCACGTTGTACCAGCCCGCAGCTCACTCTGCACCGTGCCGATCAGCGCCCCGCCAGCCAGGGCTCTGTCTGTCCCGTGCCCCGCAGCACGGTGCCGGGCCAGCCAGCACCACT